TCTATTATAGGTATCAATCTTTGGACTAATCAGCAATGGCTTATCTTTATACTTAACACGTACGAGGAATCGCTTTTGTAACTCGTTTGGAATTTTATGCAGCAGTTTCCTGATATGTAATTTGCAAACTATATTTTTTCTTCTCACGTGGTGCACCACTGTCATAAGCGTGTAAGTTTCACGTGTGTTACGAAGAAATTTTTCATTTTCACTCTTTTATTTTTGCGAAAATTTCTCTTTTGTTTTTTGGCTTAATTTGAAAAATATAATTTCAGAAAATCTCATACATTATCGTCTCCAAAAAATTTTCTTACGCGATTGGTAGGTGTCTTAGTAAATGGAGCGTGGTTTGGATCGATTTTAGCTCACTTTTTCATCGCTATTAATAGATTTTGTGCTTTCGTATATGCAACAAAGTATGATCGATTATGGCCGAAATCGAGGGCTTTATTCGTTGGATTTACTTCATGTTTGTTTGGTTTGGTTATGTCCTCCCAACACTTATATGGTAAGTTTATAATGAAACTATTCACAGAATATTCTATAGATTGCGAACGATCGCCTGTTTTCTATTTCTGTGAAGAGAAAATTTTCATCGAAATTTAAGGTATGCGGGGAAGTTCAAATGAATTCGATACTATTTAGCAATGGTTGTGTTAATTAGGATAGCATATCTATAATTTCATCACATACTGTTTTTAAATATTACCAAGTATCATTGTATCTTCTTACGAGCAAATGGACATTATCGTTCTGCAAGCTTAGACCAAATGCGATCTTTCTGAATATCAAAAAATACTGTAGTGACATTATTCATTTATGCGTATTTATTTTGCTAATTTATGTTTGCATTTTAAACTAACAAAATCTTTATTTGCAGATGAATGCGCATTTGTATTTAATGTAAATTCAAACTATCGCTTTACCTATCAAGATTTTTTCTATAGTAAAGTGTGTGCTTATGCTGATACTGTAGCAACAGTAGGATTAGTAATGGGAATGGCATGCATCGATTTATTTACCTTATTGAAAATAATTGCATATCGCAGAGTAAGTTTATTTCTAATAAATGATCGTATTAGCAATTTATTTCATACTGCTAATAACAGTTAGATAATATGTTATGGATTAAGATGAACATTCGTATATTAGCACTGATATTCAGTGAATACGAATATCATCCTTTCAAATGTCCTTCTGTTGCATTTCAGGCAATGAGAAGAAATATTGCAACGTTAACTGATAATACCATTAGCGAAAGGGAAATATTATTCTTCAAGCAGGTAATAAACAAAAATTTAAAGCCAAAAAATAAGCTCAATAATAAAGAAAAACCTACGGAAAAGCTTGAATAATTGTTGAAAAAATCGATCGATGTACCTTTACACAGTGTTTTTCGAATTAATTATTTATTAAATTAATTGTTCAAAGTATCATAAAAACATATTGAAATTATTTTTTAGTCATGCATACTTGGCTTACTATACATCTCATGCGCTTTACTATTCAATTTTACTCCATATTTATTTACCAATAAATGGATTCTGTTTGCTTTGAGCACAATTACATGGATTCTGACGCAGTCACTAGACGGGTAAGCAACGTTTCGCTACTGACAGTTACAAGATTAGAATATTGCAATCTAATCCCATCATTTTATTGCTTTATGACATATGTCTTACATTTATTAATTATGTTACTAATAGTTCTAACCATTCTATTTTAATATTTCTCATGATTTCTCCTACTCTTCTTGGCTTCATCTATTTTAACATTTCTGATTGCAATCGTATTTCCAGACATTTTGCACTTTTTTAAAATTGTTTGGTTTTCAGATTAATCTTTCTGATTTTCAATCGCGCCATTATCTGCAAGACAGATTTCAGCACAGTGACAGTAGCACCAATAACGAATTTGAATTGGATACAAACTAAGGGAAGACAATGAATTGAATATTCGTTGATGAATTGGTTACTATATCTGAAATACATATTTTTCACACATAAATATTACTAACAAGCTGTTTTTACCCTTTTAAATTCAAGCTTTTCCAACAATTGATTTGAATATTATCAAATTTGTTCCCTTAATTTCAAATTCCTCCTGAAATTTGGAAAGCTCATGGATAATCGTGATATGATGTTTTTAATAAAAAGTTCCAACTGCGATATATTCACATAGTTATATTCAAGTCATCCACATTTTTGTTTCTTGTAAACCAACCACTTACTTGGAGATTTTTTTGCCTTCGTAATCTTAACAACTTCATTTAAGGAAATCTAATCTTATATGAGAATTTAATGAGAAATTGCTGCTGTAATATAAATCAATCGTAAAATCAATCACAATTTATTCCCTCTACCTTAAAATATAAGAAAAAGTAAGTTAGCGGTGTAACGGCGTAATCATAATCTTTAAAGTTATTTATATAGCATTCATATACTTGAACACCATCCAAACTCCTTTCTCGTTTAATTCTACATTTGAATGATATGATTAATGATGTTATTAACAGATTATAAAAGCGCAAAACAAATAAGCAGATCTGTATTAAACAAAAATAAGCAGATCTCATTCCATAACGTATATTTATATACTTAATAAGTTTAATTCCTATATCGATTTGTAAAAAATTTCCTTATTTTCCATCTCGATAAAATAAGATTATTTTTCAACAAAGAAAGTTATAAGTCGTCGTTGGTAATTATATGTCACGTTCTATATGTTAATATTCCTTTCAAAAAATAGAAAAAGTGAAGTTGATTGTTTTAGGAGTTTTTCTTTAAAGCTTAATTCAGTTGTTTGCTGTCGGAAACCCGTAATATCAAATCCTTTTGCCATAGGCTTCATCTTTAACGGACTATATGATCGTTGGTTTACCATTGATTTTATCTAATATATGCTTAGACGATTCTTTGTTTGTTATTAGTTTTCTCTATCAAATGATCGAACAAATCTTTGTTAACTATCAGTTTCATCGTCTATTTCCTATAAACAATGCTATGTAATTCTTTGTTTTTTGTTTTCTTTTTCCTCATTATTTCCTTGACGAAAAAAGATGAGTGAGCACAATTTAATGGAAAAAGTAACAACTAAACATTCACGGAGAGAAAACATCAGCCGCGTTATTGATAATAAGCAGATGAAGCAAAGCGATTATGATGTCGATGTATTGATGGTCTTTTGATCAGGTAATTGAGAAATCCCAAGTAATTTTTTGACTGATTCTGCATAATTACGCACTGTTTCGAATGTTTCTTTCTGAAAAGATCTAATTTACAAATCACTTCCACAAGCCCGACCAGTAGATCCTTAGGAGGCATAAAAAGATAAAAACCGTCCATCATCCTTGTACCGTGCATAATGTTTTAATTTTAATTGATTACAGTTGGTTTAGGAAATTCTTAATAACAAAACAGTAACTTGGTTGATTGTTGTAGTTTCAAATTAAAATATAAAATAAATTACTGATAAGAATAAAGTTAATATATACAGTAGTTAGAAATTCAATGGAAAAATTACACGAACTAGAATTCAGTAAATGATTATAAGTTTCATGAACATGTACTGCCACTAACTGCTACATCTTTTTAGAGAGTTTCACGATATTTCCCAAGCATAATAAATTTCTTTCTATTTGATTAGAAGATAAAACTAAATGTTCGACAATCTTCGCCTGATAGAAAAAATCGAAAAGAATGCATACATTATTCCTATAATTTTCCCAAGATTTACTAAATTCCTCTAGTTTCGAGTCGACTTTTTGTCTCGCAATTGTTTCATTACTCTGAAATTAACTTTTTATAGAAATTACTTGTCATAAGGATCAAAATCAGTCACCATTTCATTATGCTAAACAGTTCACAACCAAACACTCCTTAATTACATCAAGAAATATTGATGTCAAGATAATGCAGAATCCAGAAATAAGCAAATCTAATTAAGAGCTGTTTTTCATTTCCATTAGTCCTTTCTAAAACAACAAAGATATTGAAACACGAATTAAAGAAAATGAATTGTAAAACAATACCTTTTCATCCTTCATATTACTAAGCAAATTTTGCAAATCATTTTCCATTTTGGAACCTTTGAAATCAGTGGTTCGTGATATCAATCGGATATTCTCAAATTTCTTTACTTCCCAATCTTCGACTTTCTGTAAAAGTGATGACTTAAAACATTTCTTCTGATACCTAAAGCAAATTTTAGAAATTGTGCGGTATGGTTTTCCGCTAAGAATATTGTAAAAAAAGGAAGTTCAAATTTTTGCAAATTAATAATTTTAAAGGCATTATTTTTCAGAATAAACACAAGATTTTAGATCCCCTAAGAGCCCTAAACATAAAGAATGGTAAACTTACGGAAGACTCACTATATAAAGCAATCAGAAGATACATAGCATAATCATAGTTTTGTTTCCTTGTAAAACACCTAAAACCTTATGCACTTCAACTCGAATCGGTAAAAATGTAGTTGTAGGCACTTCTGCATTTATAGTAAGAAATCAAAGAGGTCTCGAGTTTCACAAAACATATATGGCAAAATAATATAAAAAACTGAATAAAAACAACGACAAATACAAAAAATAAAAATTACGGTGAAAAATTGAAATACTTACCTGTCAGTTACAATCGTTAGCATATCATTTTTTGGATTATACCTATCTCCTGCTAGCCGAATCAATTTATCGACAGCATGTTCATCCAAATGAAATGCGGACAGCTTAAGCTGAACAATAATAACACGTGAACGCATATCACGTAGTGAGTTACCTTGATGTACATAATCGCAATAAGACACTGTTAAAGGAAAGAATTTTTGACATGCTTTCTCATCCAATTTCTCTGGCCATTTTGTACAAAATCCTGAAGTACAAAAAACTAATGACAATAGAAAGAAATTGTAGATCATTATAAGTAAAAATTCAAATATTCTTGTCTGCTCATTCGATGTAATCCGTTATATATATATATTTTGTTATATATTTTATATATATTTTTAT